AAAGAAGGTGTTACAGTGTGTGTCTGACTGGAGTGAGGAGTGGCATAAGATTTACAGAGGGAGACAAAAGACATTTTGCACTAGGAGTGAATAATCTGAATGTACTTCAAATTGTGTTTAAATTGTAGTTTTTGGTGTTCATATGAAATTTCTGCAGTCTGAAGTGATAAATAATGAAGAATTCACTCCAAAGGAAAAGAACCTCCACCTCAACTTTAACTAAAGCCAACATGTGAGTAAGGATTTTGTTAGAAGAGCCTGAATGAATCTTTCAGCATGGGTCGTGTTGGAAACATAAAAACAATCTCTAATTATTTTTGTTGAATGAATAGCAAGCTATACTATAAACACGCAGCCTAATTAAGTTGCATTTTTTCCACATCTCTGTCTTGTTAAAAAGCTTTTAATCAAAGTGGTTTTCACATTTTTTCTTAACAGACAGGCATTTATTTTTATTGTTGACAGCTGATGCAAAGACAAGCTGGCCACACTACATTCTCTGTATGGGATAAATTAAACTTTATGTCTCCCTTCATTTCTTATTAATGAGACATTGTATCTCACAGTGTGATTTCATATCTCACATTGTGACTACTAATCTCACACCTGCAACTTTATTTCTCGTAATTGTGGCTTTATATCTCATGACGTAACTGTTTCTCTTATGAATTGCAAATGTTATATCTCACAATTGTGACTATTTCTCAAAATGTGACTTTATTTCATATTTAAACGATATCTCACAATGATCTTTTTCATTTTGTACTTTGAGGTACAAATATTTGCTAGTTCAAACTGTGACAGGCAGAAATATCTACCTGAATGAAGCATTAGGGTATTATAATTGAGCTTGGTTGTATTACTTTCTATTTTCCATTGAAAATAGCTGTAATGCTTCTGCAGTATAGTTTTAAAAAGCCAAAACTTAAAAGTTCCTAATCACAAGTGTAGAAATTTATGGATGTGAACTGTTTTGGTGCCCAGAGAACAGTCTTGTCACCTGTTGCATTCCATTTTTAACATCCATTGTGAACTTTAACAAGACAAGTGTGTCAAGGTCTTGAATTTATTCTCAAGTCAAAGTCACATATGCATGTCTCTGTCTCTTGTTGCCCACAGGCTGACTACAGACTGATAGTCTTTACATTTATCTCCAAAGCGCAACAGTTTACCAGATTCTTAATATTCACTAAATAAATACTGAATTATGTGAGAGTTACTCTTCAATTCTTGGGTTCTGCCAATTCGGGTTAAATCTATAGCTTTTATATTAATAGGCCAGGTCTTCCACTGTTATCTGTTGAGTGATATTTGTCAAGACATGGTCAAGATATATTACAGCCAACAACATTTAAGGAAATGGATACATAATGAAAGGATATATACATATTTACAAATATATATATATATATATATATATATATATATATGTGTGTGTGTGTGTGTGTGTAAATTTAAATTTAAAGTAGGATTCCCCTTTCTAGCCTTGTCCAGTATCTCATGGAATACATAGATCAAATGTACAAGCACAGACAACAGAGGTTATATTGATTTAGGTAATGTCTTTGAGGACGTCATGTACCAGAGCCTACCTCCCTACCTCCATATTTAGCTGTAACAGAGACCTGAATTTTTCAGGCGAGGCTTGTGTAATTCAGTATGTTTGGCCTTTTCAAGGTGCTGGGTCATTAACAATCTATGAGTTAACAAGGTACTTCTGGTCTCATTCCAGAATGTGCTAAAACCCCATATCCTAGTAATATAGAGCAGAGATATTGTGTTGTTGTTCTATCATCATGTTTATGTATGTATGTAATGGGTTGCCCTTGACTGACCAGCATGGACTGTTCCAATATTCCCACCTTCCAAGAATAAAGACAGCGTGATAAATATCTGCACAGGAGTTGTGAATCAGATTAGTTTATTAACTTAGCACTGTCTGACAAGCAACATTTCACACAGTGTCTTCATGTCATCATACCATTCCAGCAAAAAAAATTGTAAAAGAGCTATAATGATCGTTACACTTATATTGCATCCCTCAATGTCAGTCCTTACATAAGAGTTGATGAATGAGTGAATCTGCTGAATGTGTGAATCTGAACATACTTCTGGGAGTGATCCTGCATCAGATGATCATGTCTATATATACGATTTCCTAAATAGACCTGTGACCGATGAGTGAGAGGGATAGAGTGAGAAGGCTCAGATGATTTCTTCAGGAAAGCAAGCTGGCGGTTGTTGATTTTCATCACACTTGGTATTTCAGTTACAGGCCAGCTGGGATCAGAGATCACACTTAGGAACATACCGCTGTTCTATTAAATGAAGCGATAGTGTAAAACATTGCTCTCTATTATGCAGAGTGAGAGTCAAGGGAATCTCTCTCTGACTGATTTTTGAGTGGCACTTTTGCGTATCAATTATGTCTAAGAACTTCCCCAATGTCACAGAAAGCATAAATTCTTCTAGCATATCTTTGTTATCTATCTGGCTCAGACACACTGTTCATATGACACCACAGAGTCTGCTTAGCTTCAACAGCAGTACCAAGGTCAGGTTCATCAAAAGTAGCCAATGTTTCATCAGGAAGCCAAATGTGACAGGTTGACAAAATGTGCTTTGGCGTATTCTAACTGATTGTCTCATCTTACATAACTAGCTATGCCGTGTCAACAACCCTCCTGGTAGATGTGCTAATCAACATTAACCTTTAACATTTAGTTTTATTCATTGAAATGAAGCACTGGCCACCAGTCAGTCAGCTCAATTTTGTAGCTTTCCAGCATTGGCAATACCCTTGTGAAAAAGAAGTACGCATTAGCATTCTTTTAAAAAGTGTACTTATTACTGAAGTAATATAGGCTACTTTGAAATAATATACTTAAGTGAGAATGCAATGTTTACTGACACTTAATTACATGTTATTTGTAATTCAATGAAAATCATAAAAATTATATTAAATGCAATTAGTTGAACTTAAGAGTGCTTTTTATATAATCTTGATATGTAATTACATAATTACGTCTACTGTTATTGTTTAAATTTACAAATAATTATCTTTAAATGTAATATTGAATTACATACTACAGTTAAAATTAAAATCAAGTACTTTACATGTGGTTATTATGTCAGGCAGCACATAAAAATAAGCACTTCTTTAAAGCATGAAAAAAAAAGATTATTTAATTGGAAAAGATTTAAAAAGATTTATTTAATTTAACATAATTACAAAGTACACTTTTTAAAGGTTATTTTATTATTCTATTATCTGTACAGTTTTTAAACAGGTGCACGTTTCCACAAAAACTTTTTCACAAGGGTAAAAATGAAAATTTTTTGACATCTAACCATGTAATTTCTCCAAGTAAATCATCACATTATGATTGAAAAAACTACTTATTTTTATCATATTTTTGAATGTAATTTTGGCAGATAGCCTTGCTCAATCACACTTTATTTTAATGTCCAATTCTCACTATTAACAAACCATTAACTACGTCTTTTGCCTCAATAAACTCCTAATTTTCTGCTTATTAATAGTTAGTAAGGTAGTTGTTAAGTTTAGGTATTGGGTAGGATTAAGGATGTAGAATATGGTCATGCAGAATATGTGCTTTATAATAAACAGACAATATGTTAATAATAGGCAAGCAACTAGTGAGAATTGGTCCCTATACTAAAGTGTTACTCCTTGTTACTCCTAGATTTTTGTATAATGGTTTGTCAACCATTTCTAAAAAATATAATTATTTATTGGATAACACATTATTCAAAGATCTGTCCAGGAGAGAGCACACATGCCGGGGGCCATGTGGTTGTGGCTTTGAAATTATGGCAGCTGTGTGGAACTTTACACTAGACAAATGTCTTTCACCTCTTGCTCATGTTACAAGGACATGCTGTCACAGTGTTTGAAAAACACCCCGCTGGCGTGTTATTAATTATATGTAATGAAATGAGCACATGTCTGAATGAAAGTCTTCAGGAAGTTGTCCTCTCTTGCTCTGTTGAGACTAACTGCCCTTTCATTAAGCTTTAAAGAATTTATGCATATGTTCAACACCAGAGAACTATTTCACAGTTTATATTTTAAGCTTACTTGGGAGCTAAATGTTGAGCCTCAGTCAGAATTTATGGCCTAGGTGAAAGGAAAAGCTTATCAACAAATATTGTCCATATTGTCATTTGAATTATGAGCATCATTATGATATCATATAACCCCACTTCTTAAGAAACCCACTCTTAACCCAACTCTTTTAGAGAACTACAGACCGGTTCATTCGACCGAGACTGCCTTGCTTTCAGTTGTTGAAGCCCTAAAACTGGCAAGAGCGGCTTCCAAATCTTCTATACTTATCTTGCTGGATCTGTTCGCTGCTTTTGATATGGTGAACCACCAGATTCTCCTGTCAACCCTATTGGAAAATGGCATCTCAGGAACCACATTCCAGTGGTCTGAGTCTTACCTCTCAGACAGGTCCTTCATGGTATCTTGGAGAGGTGAGGTGTCCAAGTCACAACATCTAGGTACTGAGGTGCCTCCGGGCTCAGTTCTTGTACCACTTCTCTTCTATGTCTACATGGCATCACTAGGTTCTGTCATTCAGAAACATGGCTTTTCATATCACTGCTATGCTGATGACACTCAACTCTACCTCTTATTCCATCCTGATGATCCGACGATAGCTGCTCGCATCTATTTATCTTCTTTTTTATTTAAAAAAAATAACAAAAAAATGAACACTAGCTTTCTATTTTTTATTTTCTATCTATTTGTTTTTCTTTGTGTGTGTGTATATACATATATATACATATATAAATATCATAGTTATTTAACTCTGGAATTATATATGAATTACATTTTCAAAGCATTTTAAAATAAATTAATAGATCCAGAAAAAAAATGACCCAGGTGCTGAATGTAATAGTTTGAATGATTCATAAATAGATATGCCTCTTTTTTATCAGTGTGTTTGTCTCAGATGAGCAGTGTTTTCAATAGTGTGCCACCACTATTTGGAACAGCACAAGCTTTCCTATTGAGACTAGCACAACTTGAAGCTCAGTTGGTTTTGAACCTGATTAGTAATGTTGCAGCTGTAAATAATAGCAGTTATGGGAACCCCCTTGTTCCTTTAAATCTCTTACAGCCTGTTGGCATTCAAAGAGCCACATTTTTGAGCATGTACCAGCACCCAGGGGGTTTTAAAAACATGGATTCCATACCTCACATGATTAGCCACCCCTCAACATCTGTCACAGACATTAATTCAGTAATTTCCTATAAGGAGAGTGGTGCCCTTCTAGCAAAAGAGATCATTCAGGACAAAACTCTAGGTCCCATCATGAATAACACAACATTGCCACTGCAAGCATCTGAGGAAGCTCTTGTTAGATCCAGTCACAACCAGCTTGGCAAACATTTCACCTTCAAACCAGACGTGGACTGTTCTCAATATCAGTCAATGATAGCTAAAGCAATGATGCCTCCTGATAGACCACAAACCAAAGAAGCAGAGCCAAAGCAACAAACAATGCTGCATTTTCCAACAGACAACCTGAACAAAGCTTTGACCAGCCTTGGCCTTTCTCTTGAGGATCTAGAATTACTCAGCCATTGCCCAGACAACCAGTTAACAACAGAGAATCTCCCCTTCATTATACAAGACATTCAACAGCGCAAAGGAACAAAGGACATTAAATATGGCCATGCTACATGGAACTCATCTGATCAAGTGGAATCATCCAGAGAGTCATCATACGCTCATGGGGAACAGAGGAATCAAAGGATTATTAATGGTGAATGGCAAGAATCCCATTCCCATAGATCCCTCAGCCCTGAAAGATGCTGCCCATCTGAACTCATTTATGAGCACTTCTCGACCCAGTCTAAAACACTGAAAAGAATAAGACATTCATCAGGTGAGTTGTTATTACATCTACAAATGATGCATCGACAACAATGCAACTTATCTAAAATGTTGGTTGGAAAATTGCAACATCACACCAAATTACTGCTCTATCTATCTATCTATCTATCTATCTATCTAATGCTGTCATCCTATTTAAAATTGGTTGTTTATTATTGTTGTTGTTAATAATAATGATAATAATAATTGTTTTGGGGCAAGAAATATAAAGTACAGCTGTAACATTAGCAATTATTATATAATCATGGTTTCTTTTCCAGGAAAATAATCATGGTTTTCTTTTCCAGGAAGAGGCTCACATTTCTTCCTAAAGAGGCTGCAACATGGGCCTGCTGAGGTCACCAGGTGGAGGCCTGGTTCAGTCTATTTTCCCCCTCGCTCAAAATGCAGCACAAGGCAAGAGTTTGTCTCTAAGGCAAGAGTTTGTCTCTTTAGACTGTAATAAAGCAATACACTATACTACACAAAGACCCTTGTCTTCTTCACGCAGATCTACCACTTACAATGGCATGAAAAAAGGTCATCAACAATCTTCATTTCCAGTCAAATCTGCAAAATCTGAAGTAACCACTGAATCCATGAACATTCAGATGCCAGTAACTAAGATGGCTGCAAAAACATCAGCACAGACTGTAAGTTCTGAGAGGAGTATTAGAGATACTGATGGTTTTGATGAGATTATGGTGATAACCGAACTTCATGCCCTCAAAGCAAAACTCTTCTAGACGGTGTTTTATAAAGGTTTTTATTTTCTAGTGTGAACTGTGATCACTACCAGCATAATGATTGAAATACCACCATTAAACCATTAAAGTATCAGCTTAGTCTCAACATGGCAGCCTGAAAATAACAAGATAGGCATCTCCAATGGTTAGCACCAACAGTCCCATGATAACAAATGAACAAATGTGAAACAGTGACCTCTGGTGGTGGGAGAATCGCTAAGTTTCAGAGGGGAAACACTACAGACTGTGTGCTGTAATAAAGCGAACTCCACTCTTTTAGCAAAGCAGTTCACTTTTTTCTCATCGTTCCCTTGTTTCCCAACAGAAGGGTGTGATTCGTGTGTCTGGAATCCCTCTTGATTACTCTGATAGTGAACTCATCAAAATGGCATCTCCCTTTGGTCACCCTGTTGAGGTATTAATGGCAACTGAGGTTGACACAACAACCTGTCTAGAATGGAAGAAGGTATGTGCTATTGTGGCCTGGTGTTTATTTTAACAAACAAATATATTATTTTCTAAACTAATTTCCAGTAAAAGTACAGCACTTTTATCAGTTTGTGTGTGTGTGTGTGTGTGTGTGTGTGTGTGTGTGTATGTGTGTGTGTGTGTGTGTGTGTGTGCATGTTTATGTGGTTTATGAGGACACAAATTTGTATAATAACATGGGTATGACATAGGTATTACAACGAGAAGGTGATTTATGAGGACATTTTCAGTGTCCCCGTAATTCAAAAGGCTTATAAATAATGCAGAATGAGTTTTTTTGAAAATCTAAAAATGCAGAAAGTTTCCTGTGAGGGCTAGGTTTAGGGGTAGGGTTGGTGTAGGGCAATAGAAAATACGGTTTGTACAGTATAAAAACCATTACGCCTATGGAGAGTCCCCATAAACCATAAAAAACAAACCTGAGTGTGTGTGTGTGTGTGTGTGTGTGTTGTGTGTTTTCCAGGCTTTACTGATGTTTCCAACTGAATTCTCAGCCCAGGAGATGGTGAAGGTTTACTCTGCTATCCCAGTTCACATGAGGCAGCAAAGTTTAGAGCTGGTGTCCCAAATGGTTGACTTTAGTTCACCTGTGAGTTAACACACTAATGGATGGAAACAATTTTATAATTAATATTTTCTTGCATAAATACTTCATTATTTTGCTCATTTTCTCTGAGGGTTTAATGTAGCTACTTATATTTTAGGTGTCAGTGTTTCATGCTTTTGTGGGACCATCATTATCAAATGCAAGTATCACTTGTTCTGGAGCCATTTCAAATATTAAATCTTTTACAAATAATAATAATAAAAAACCTACATTTTCATAAGATTTGTCAAACTTCCATCCATTCTTTATACCTACTAACAAGACGTCCCACTATCTTTTAGGGGCTGCTGACGCCTTTGGACCATTTGCTGGTTGTATGTAATGTTCCCAATCAGCCCTGTGCTGTTACAGGAGTGCTACGGCTGCTAAAGCCTTTTGGACAAGTTTTCAGATCTCTGGTACTGCATGGAAACAAGGTAAACTATGCTGCTGCAGAACAGTAAAAACGTTCTGTGAACAGCATATATAAAATAAGAAAAACTCAAATGCATTTGGTTGTTTGAAAAGTATGTGAAAACGTTAGAGAATGTTACTTTATTTCAATGGTCTATGTTTTCTCAGGTTTTACCTGTTTGTCTATTTGAGTCTAAAATATAAATGAATTGATGATATATTTGTTGTTTGTTTGTCTTCATAACTAGTTGGATGTAGATCAGTGCCTTGGGAACAATAGCAGCATCCAGATGATTTTAGAGATGGAATCCGCTTCTGTTGCTGTATCTGTATATGAGTGGTCTCAAAAAATTCCTTGTCTTTATCACAAGCATCATCTCTCTTTCCTCAGAGGATGTAATACACAGAAAAATACATCTGCGGTCAATTCAGCCTAATATCCTCACAGTTTTGTCCCCTTAAATGTTGTATATTTGTATTATCTTTGTAATAAAATACAATGAAACTAGGTCATAAGAAGTATTATTGTCAGTCTTTCTCCTTTTATAAAGTTCAGCAGTATCAAGCAGTAGAAATAATAATTGTAACTACAGTCACTACAATACCCATAGTCGAGGAAATCCTGGAAATATCAGGGAATTTTAAAAGTCTAAAAGTCATGAAAAATATAGAATCATACTTAAAAATCTAGTGATCACAATTAACTGGAAAGGTCATGGAAAAGTCACTTGGAATGCATAAGTCAGAAATAGTAAGAACCCTGTAAATTATATTAAATTATATAACATGGTTGTATGATTTTAATTGTTGGATCTGTAAAAAGGTCAAGTTAGTCATGGTGACAAACCCAATCACAGTTTTAAAGAGTTAATTCACCCCCAAAAAATCAAAATTAAAAATCATTTACTCACCCTCACATTTTCGTTATCAAATTAAATCACTTTTTTCCACACGAAATTAGAATTTATGCTTTTCCCCATACAGTGAGTGAAAACATTAGTAACAGGGGCCGTCAAGCTTCAAAAATGACAAAATAGCACCATATTTATCAGGTTTGATGTCGTTGATATCATGCATCAAGTTTAAAAATGTCTATGTACATATGCAAGTAAGATTTGAGAGCTGTGCCAGAGGGGAATTTTCACTACTAGAAAACACACCGCAGTGCACTTCACTAGGCCTTGAAAGGATAGTTCACCCAAAAAATTATATTATGTCATCATTTACTCACCTCTACTCATTCCAAAACGTTGTGTTTCTTTCTTCTGTTGAACACAAAAGAAGACATTCTGAAGAATGGTAACCAAACAGTTGATGGTATTGATTGATTTGATTTTTTTTCTATGCTGCTATATGGAAGACAATTGTTGAACAGCACAAGAAACACATCGTCAAAAACGGTCGTTCCCTGATCGAGGACGAATATAGTACTCAAATAACGAACTCAAATTTAGACTACAACTTCGTCAATGTCGCTGATGTAAACATGCAACCTGTGACATAGCATTTTGCTGTTTATCGTGTATCATTTCATATTTTATTGTTTCACATATTGTAATTAACAGTCAATATATAGTAGACCTACAGCCTACTGTGTTGTATCAAAGACTATCGAATACCCTATATGCCTTAAAGGGGTCATATGATGTGATTTTCCTTTCTCGTTGGAGTCTTACAAGCTGATTGTGCATAGATAATATCCCTGAAGTTGCAAAGACTAAAGTCTCAAAACCAAAGAGATATTCTTTATCAAAGTTAAGACTCTTCCGTATGGAGTTACGTTTGTTTATAACATCTGGGTCATTGTTCTCTACCTTAAAATGCTGTAAAAGTGTCTTTGTACTCATTTTTTTTTTATCAACTAGGTTGTTATATTAAACATTTGAGTGGGTTATATCAGATCTAAAGCTGGGTTAATGACACAATTTTATAAGAGGTTACATCTCATTATGCTTTATCCAAAATAAGCGACTTGCAGCGCATCTGTCCATTGGAAAAGTCACCTTCAAGTACAGGCAAAGAGATGTCTTTTGGCGTAAAACCAAGTATTTTTTTACTGAATTTGCATGCAGGTTAATCCCTCCCAAATGTGTGATGCCTTCCAAAAAAACTAAAATCACATATTAATAATATACTAACGTGTTTAAAAATAAAGAAATTGACCCTTTTATTAAGATCTATAGATTTGTTATTTTAATTTTATTAATGGCTCTTTAAAATGTTACCTGAATGATGCGAATGGAAGTATCTATTTTAAAATTAAAGGGTCAATTCATCTTTGAATTCACTTTAAAATCATGCCACTGTCTCTTTAAACCTGACCATTTTGCAGTCCCGAGCTTTTGAAATACCGATGATGGCCTTCAGGAGGCGCCAGCGACATGTTTGTTTGAAAGGCCCACATGAGCACTCTGACGTAGCGTTGAAATCTAGCCAGGTAACGGTGTCTCTGCAAACAGGAAAATTACCTTTTAGTCGACTTATTTGGCGATAGGTGTGAGGGACAGAAGTGTTACAATGCCGGGTAAGTCCTCTTCACAGCTCAGGTCTTTGAAAGGAGTTATGTTTAATCTTTTTGACTCCGTAAGTGCAGTGTGCTGCTCTCACTCTTTGTTTTGTAAAATGGTAACTTAGCTAGCGCTGAAGTCGTAGAGTAGCGACATATAAGTAAACTGACACATTTAGCGTGCAGTATAAAGCAAATTAAGCCGTTAAGGGTTCACTTGGCAGAGTTTGTGTGAAGCGCAGTGTACATTGAGGCCTAGTGTGTGATGCAGTCATGTGGCTAACTCACGCATCCACCATGCTCCTTCGTTTACTTAACGAAACCCTTTCAAACTTAACTACTTACAACAACTAGCGTCAGTTTTTGCATCGATGACATTCAAATCACTTTTAAAACGTTAGTCTGCAAGGCTAGGAAACATTTTTTTTACGTGGAAATACTGCTGTTGTTATGGCTCGAGCTAACACGCATAGCTTCACAATATACGCTTACAAACGTAAAGTTAGAGCAAGTGTCTTATTTGAAGGCACGATATATCTTACAGCAAAAAGGAGGCTGTTTTAATTGGAGTCTTTTTAAAATGGTTTATGCTATAGATAGGTTTCTCTGGAGCCATAGCCAGGCCTCATGTTACAATGAATCAAATCCATGTGGAGAAAGATGGTGTCGAGACTGACCTCCTCTTTGTCTCATTTATGCAACACACTGATAGTTAGTAGCAGATAGTTATATAATGTTCCTTAAACCAGTGGTTCCCAACCCTGGTCCTGGAGGCACACCAACACTGCACGTTTTGCATGTCTCCTTAATCAAACACACCTGATTCAGGTCATCAGCTCATTAGCAGAGACTCCAAGACCTGAAATAGGTGTGTCAGAGAAAGGAGACATGCAAAATGTGCCGTGTTGGGGTGCCTCCAGGACCAGGGTTGGGAACCACTGCTTTAAACCATGTGTGTTACTCACTGTGTCGTGTCGCAAGTATTAGAAGAGCTTGATAAACATGGTTGTGCCTTCATTTTGTAATATTGAATGTCTAATTTGCTAGCAAGTTGTGTTTGTGCGCGAAACAATCTTAAACAGAGAGGGACGAATCATTCTTACTGTGATAACAATGACTTAAAATTAAATGTGCGTATATTTTATGGTTTTTAAACTTAATTCATTTGACACGTGCACATTGAGTAAAGTTTTACTGATGCATATAATCTAAACTAATTAAATTCAATGTCCCAAAAGACGTCTTTTGTTTATTAGTTTAATGTGTGTGGTAGTGGATGAGGTAATATGTACTGAGAATGGGGTCAGTATTAGTATTAATATAGCATTTTATACCTCCAGAACCTGCTGATATTAACAGTACAGAGGTAGCAAAGACACCAGGAGGCGGCAGCGGATCAGGGAAGGATGAGAATGTTGTGAATGGACACAAGGAGGGGGATGCCAACCCCTTTGCAGAGTACATGTGGATGGAGAACGAGGAGGAGTACAATAGACAGGTCAGTGTGAACCTGCAGAACGTATATATGTCTGCTGTATGTGTACTTCTAAATAGGATTCACAAGATCGGTTAAAGTTATTACAGGAAATTCACACAAAAATTGCCATTTACTTACCCTTGTGTCATTGCAAACCTTTGTGACTTTCTTCCATAAAACCATTTTAATTTGAATGTATGGTTGTCAAACATTCACATGCAGTCAGTGCGGCAGAATTTTTACAGAAAGAAATTCTAATCTCTTTTCCATCGCACTGTGAATAAATCTGGCCAACCAATAAGATTCATACTTTTGGTGAAAATAAAAACCTGATTGGCTGTTAAAAACAACAACAACATGTACATGCTATTGTGACACAATGCATCCTTAGTAACTGGGATAACCAGGGTATTTCTGCTTTTCTATAAGCACCACCTACTGTCAAGAGAGTAGGCTTACATTTTCATTCAACCTGTATGCCGTTATTTACGCATTGGTCTGAACAGGCAAATCGCATGCAAAAAATCGACCTGAATTTGTAAACGGGCATTTAGGCTGGATGTTAGAGGTTCCATTTCCATGCAAGTGAAGTGGATGGTGATTTATGTGTGGCAAAAGTCATTCACTTTTAATCTTCCCTTGTGCTGTAGTTCTCAAATCTCATTTGCAGTCATGTTTTTTAACTGGCCATGTTGTTGTTGGTCTTGTTACTTAAGAACCAATAGTGTTTTGTGTCAATGTCATCAAACCTGGCTTAATGTGATAAAAGACAGCTTTTTCTTTATTGAACACATGCATGAGTGAGATTTGTGAACTATAGTGGAGGGGATGGTTTTTAAGTGAATAAGGCTATTGCAATATAGTGCACAAGTTATATGAAATAATTTAGGCTGCTTTTTGTTCATTTATTTTAATTTTAGTGATGGACCAATATATATATATTTTTTTTTAATGATCAATACTGATTATTTGTATATGTCTGAGAAATCATATCATTTATGATTTGTTTCCTGTCTTGGGGTTTTGTTGTAATGCAAACCACTATTTATTGCTGTATATTAACACAAATTGTTTGTCTGAGATGAGAGACTGAGAGCAAGAATCTTTGAGCGAGACAGTCTATCACTGCGTACCGTCTGACTGCTGCAACCGACGTTACATCAAGTCTCAAGTTACATAGTCTGACTTTTCACATTTGCAGTTTAATTTTTTTTCCACCATTTGCAATGTGTTTGTTCTCTCCATCTCTAACTGTACAGCAAGTCAGAAGAATTACCGTAATGACTCTTGAAAAGTGGTGCCTTAAAGTGCATACACAGTTTAGATTTATATTCTTAAAGCAAACCAGCATAATCAGCTGAATTACAACATGTCTAGTATGAATCCATACAGTAGCCAATGACTGCTACATTTTGATGGATCGGACATCTTGCTGCAGGTGGAGGAGGAACTCTTGGAGCAGGAGTTTCTTGAACGCTGTTTCCAGGAGATGTTGGAGGAGGAGGATCAGGATTGGTTCATTCCCGCCAGAGACCTTCCCCCTGGAGTAGGGCAGATCCAACAGCAGTTAAGCGGGCTGTCAGTCAGTGACGGAAATGCCGAAGACATCGCAGTAAGTATTACAGTGTAATGATTTGATGCTTGATTTACAGGTATTTAAGCTAAACGAATCTCACATCATTCCTGAAAGGCAACCACTTTGAAGACCTCAGATGAACTTTGGTGACATTTTAATGTTCTAATATGTACTTCATCTTTTTTCTTCCACAGCGCAAGAGCAGTTTGAACCCAGAGGCCAAGGAGTTTGTTCCAGGCGTGAAATACTAGAGACCCTCCAGTTAGGGGCTCCTTTATATCTCCATGTATAATGTGGGCGGGTTACTCAGTGTAATGTTCCTATTGGACCGCTGCAGATTGCGACTAGTTCTCCTGGAAGATCTTTGTATTAATCTCAGAGGAACAGTTATGTGATTTCCACTATCGTGATAGTGACTAGCAGTTTGCCCCCGTGTCATTGCCTTTTTCTTTTTTCCTGTCTTCTGTTTTATTTTCTTCAAAAGGAAGCTTGGCGGGGAGGTGCGTGTCATAAGAGTGGGAAGGGAAAGGGCTGGGACAAAGGAAACCTGACATTACAAGGACCGTTGATGGGTGGACCATTCTATGATGAACAGAACTGGTGGCAGCTGATAACTTTTGAGGGATTTTCACAGAAACATTTTTTTCCGGTTGCTTTTCTCCTTCCTCCATTGAAGTTCTGTCACAGTGTGCAACATGCATTAACAAAAATGGAAAAAAAATCAAATAAAGCAAGCAGGTTCCCTCTTGGACATGTTGTTCTGTCCCATGATGTCTTGTGTTTGTGCATTCAAAGTACTGTAAGCTAAATCTCAGTCCTGACCATTCTCAAGCAGTCTTTTGGCTGGTATCGGGAGATTAGACCAGTGAGATTTTACAGTGCTTCAAGCAAACTGGACTGGTCATTGGAGTTTTGGGTAGGCCTGCAGAGGATTAAATGCATCAAATGGTGAGCTGTGTAATTACTTCAATAATGTAAAATGATTAAAAAAAAAAAGAAGCATAGTTCAGCTGCTACAAAATGGGTTCTTTTCCAAATAATTTAATGTTTATTTTCTGATATCTGAATGCCACACCATTGTTCTTAAATGAATAGTTACCCAAAAATGAAATTTGCTTGAATTTACTCATCCTCAGGTTATCCAAGATGTAGATTAGTTTATTTCTTCATCGGAACAGATTTGGAGAAATTTAGCATTACATCACTTGCTCACCAATGAATCATCTGCAGTGAATGGGTGCCGTCAGAATGAGAGTTCAAACAGCTGATAAAAACACTATAATCCACAAGTAATCCACACAACTCTAGTCCATCAGCTAATGTCTTGTGAAGTGAAAACCTGCACGTTTATAAGGCATTTTAACTTTAAACCATCACATCTGGCCAAACTACAAGCCCAAAACAACTTTCTTCCAGTGAGAAAGTCCATCCCCTTTTGTTCTCTTACATTAAAATCAACCAACATATTTGTTGGAACTGTTTTGGCCTGTTTTCGCTTGTAAACGGTGCATGATCTGTGCATATTTCTCTCTTGATTCAGACAAAATGACTTTTTAACTGGTGAAAGCAATGTTATAGATCGAGGACTCCTATTTTAGCCATAAACAACAGTTTGAAGTTACCCTGATGGATTTGTTTATTACAAACATGCAGCTTTTCACTTCACAATACGTTAATTAATAAGATGGAGTCTTGTGGATTATTATGTTTTTATCAGCTTTGTGGACTCATTCTGACGGCACCCATTCACTGCAGAAGATCCATTAGTGAGCAAGTAATAATACATTTATCCAAATTTATTCTGATGAAGAAAATACTCATCTACATCTTGGATGGCCTGAGGCTGTTAATTTTCAGCAAATTTTGATTTTAGAGTGAACCATTACCTTATTTGACAGATACAGTATATTGTAAATTGTCAGCAGTACCTGTTCTTGTTTAATGCATTGAAATGAGGGGTTTTCCCTGTGTCTGTGGTCTCATGGTTACTCCATTGACTGGACAGCCTAAACATCAGTACAAAACCACTCGGACAGCAAATTTTTATTGTATGATTGTTTCAATCTATTCTGTATTTGCTTAGAGCACTATTTGGATTACCCAGGTGCAGACAGATACACCATGTATTGCTTAATCAGACACTTAAGACAGAAACATGTCATAGTGAAACTGCTCCACCTTTTGGAAAAAGGGATTGTATTTTTTCTGCTTATAAGGGCAAATAATTTTTCATATTAACATTCCAATTTTTTTTTATTCATGGATGTTTTATTCATTTTTATTATTATTATTATTGAATTGTAAAGTGTTGCACCAGTTTCTTTTTGCCCATTTTGTTTTTAATCCTTAAAGCTGCTTATATTGTGTTGATAAAATTATTTAACATAAGGTAATTTGCCATGATTTTTCAAAGATACCCTGTCCCATAGGTAATGTTCTGATACTTTCCACACTGTTTATAGATGTATGCAGATCTTATATATTACCTTATTAACTGTCTTTGCATTATTCTTTTTTTTGTTCAGCATTCCCTTACAGCTAGCAGGTGTACAGTATAAGTTTGGCCGTAGATGTGTGGAACAGAGGATATGAATAGCAACGCAGATGAAGTGAGGACCAATAGTCTGGACACACCGCTGTGGCTATTTCTTGCTGAATACTTTGACATTCAACAATTGAATAATGTCAGAGGATGATGACAGGTTAGATATACTTAATCCTTCATTAAGTAATAGTGTGAAAGATGTGTTTATGTGAATGACTGTTTGTAGACTTACTCACTATAACACACATAAGATAATACTGTGTCTGTCTGTGAGGCTGCATGAGTTTATGTCTGTGTGTGCCAGTCTGTGCATGTACAATACTTCTGAAATGAGGTTTGGAGACTATACAAAACATTTCAACTAGCTCTGTGTGTGCTTAAGGAGGGTCTCCAAAGAAAAGTACTACATTTGAAACGCTTTATGTTAAACGTTAAATTGCAATATATTATGTCACCATAATTGTTCATATCTGAGTTGTAACCTTACGTTCACATAAATTCCGTTTTTGAGAAGTTGCTAATAATTAGTGGGGTACAGTGGGGCTAAAAGCCCTCTAAAGGATTTTGTTTTAAAAATATATTCAATGGAAAATAAATTTTTATTAAAAATGGTGCAAATATAAAAAGATTTAAATGGGATTTTACCCAAAGTGTAAGGCAAAAAAGGCACCCCAGAGGAGAATATATTGTATGATATAGCAAAAATGAATCCCTATATGAAAATACTGTCAAGATTTTGTTAATAAATAGAGTATATACTCAAAACAACCAGTTTAGCAAATAGTGCACAGTTTTTTAATAACTTTTGAATTACAAGGCTTCTTAAAAACTGCTATTTTGTTTTTGATTGATTAATCGTGAAGTTCGTTTCCTCAAAAATATAGAAAACAATTTATTGCTGTTTCACAGCCCTCAGCTGCTCTGATATATGTAGTTTAAATATGGGCATATGATTCTAATTAGTGATTTAAAACTAAATCATATTTTGATCTTAATTAGGGTGACCATATTTTAGTTTTCCAAAAAGAGGACAGTGGGTGCGTGGGGGGTGGGTGGTTGGTGGGTGGTTAAAGTAGTGCCCAAAGTAGCGCAATGACCATATCCCAAATATCAAAACTCAAAATATCATGTAATTTCCATACCTAAAATACATATTTTACAGTCACTGTTATGCATATTGGTCATAAACACAGCTAAAAAGCTTCCTACCAGTGGCCCTCCTTCACAAAACTTAACATCTAGCACAGTTTTATCATAGGTAGAATGCAAAATGTTTAAATACAAGCATTTCAGTCAAATGTAATTTATGCAACATTTCAAACTTTAAACCCATGGGGGAAAATCAAGTAGCCCAATTCCATAGAAGAAAAAAAAACCTGCATCCAACACGAGCAGCAGGAGTCAGATTTGATTGATCACGGGTTGAGAGGAGAGCTGGCTGACAGACCATGCTGGAGGATTTGCTGCTCAACAGATCCTGAGCTTATTAACAAATATCTGATCTTCCTTTACACCGATCGTGAAAGTGAACAGCGAGTGCTCATTCAAAGGAGATTTAAATACTCTGCATATTGATAGCGGCTCCCTGATGCGCGAAAATTATATGCAATATTAGAATGTTTGCGGGAGCAGTTCTCCTCTTCTTATGCCCGTTGCTCCTTCCTGGAGCATAGGCCATCGACGACTGCCCTCCAGCGTTGTCTGTTCTGTGCTACCATCACCAGCTGCCCCCGTTGCACCAAATTCTGTGACGCACCGAATTATGTGACCATAGAAGGCACTGTATTGAGCTAATCCAACCTACTCCTAAACCCAATCCTAATCCTAAACCTACCCTCACTACAGCGCCTGCTAAGTCACAGATTTCGGTGTAACACCGAACGCATTTTTTAGGTCCAAAAAGAAGACATGTCTGGGACGTATGGTCACCATATCTTAATGTTTATTTATACTTAATGTCCAACTGTAGAGAGCTGGATAACCATTTTTTATATAGTTGGCCATGAGATAATGTTATTTGAGTGCCGTTGTTATCCAGTTTGATTTTTGTTTATATATTGATTAGGCCAAACTGAGCCATAAATGTAGAGGAAATAAGAAAACCATTTTTTTTGTTTTTTTTTAAGAGGTGGAGTCTAAGTGTACACTTACACTAACTCATGTTAAAGGCTTGGTAATATGTGTTAACAGTTAAAGGAGGTCACACATTGTGCTGTGAATGATAAACTGTTGAAGCACTTTTTCGAGCTGTCAGAGATTAAGCAAGCAGACATGGACACTCACGGGAAACAAGGTGAAGTTTACCTGCAACATCAGAAACATGGCGAGGTAAGATTGGAACGTTGTCATTTATTTTCTGGTATTGAAGACAGGCATATGTTTTTGTGTTTGTCAACCTCAAGTCTAAAACTACAAAATGGTCGTAGCTGATCTAAATAAAACAGTTTTATTAAAATAGTTCAGCGTTTACAATGATGTTACACTTAGTATTGGTATTATAGTTTGTAGCATTCAGAAACATTGGAAAAACAAAGTAGGGTAGTCATATAAAAATATATGATTTTAAGCCTGATGGTATTTGCTTGTACTTTTTAAATATAGCTCACCATGCCCCTGTGTTTTGGCATGAACTCTGGTGTAAGTTTATTTTCTGGTATGAGATAGCTAGAACAGGACTAACTCTACAAGTTGAAACTTGGTGTGCGCATCTCTGTCTTGCGTTTAGAATTACAGCACATTCCACTGACAAAAACACGCCCTCATGAAAGTGCACTTCACGTACTAGATTCAGGCCATGCCTTACACACACACACAATACATGAGGTAAATGAGGGATTGGCAAGAGTGAGTAATTACATCCGTATCTCCAACGTGACGTGCTTTTTAAGAACTTTTTAATGCTAATATTTAACAATCCAGAGGTGTGTTCATTACCTGAAGCACAAATTCCACCTGATGGATCCATCAGTCTGACTAGATCTTATCAAATGTTATAAATCTAACTGTCATTGTATTGCAGAAACATGGATGAAGGAAAATAATACAAGTAATAATTTTCTATTTGTTCTTAACAGAAGTGGAAGCGATATTGGTTGGCCCTTCATCCAGCTAGTCGGCACGGCGTGGCACGGTTAGAATTATCAGAAGCCGTTCATGAACGGTCAACTGTGGTGGTCAGACGACATCCAGAGAGGAAAGTTGTACGTCTGGCCGACTGTGTGAGTGTCGTCAAGCTGCCGCCTCATGCAGAGGCTTGTCCAGGGGAAAACATGGCTGCTTTCTGTGTGGAGATGGAGGACAGGAGGCTTGTGTTTGCAACAGAGAAAGAAAGCTGTGGAGAATGGGTGTACATAATATGTAACAATGCCTTTCAGGTGAGGGTTTGGATTTTTCAGATATATTGTTATTACACACTACCATTCAAAGGTTTGGGGTCAGATTTTTTTTCAAAGAAAATACTTTTATTCAGCAAAGATGCACTATACAAAAGAGTCAAAATAAGTAAAGCTACTTCTGATGTTACACGAGATATCTATTTTAAATAAATGTTGTTCTTTTGAACTTTCTATTCATTCAAGAATCGTGAAAAGATCACAGTTCCCACAAAAAAAACAAAAAAAAGCACCAAATCAGCATATTACAATGATGTCTGAAGGGTCATGTGATGTGACACTGAAGACTGGAGTAATGATTGCAAAAATTCAGCTTTGCCATTACAGGAAACATTTTTTTAAATATATTTAAATTTAAAAGCTTTTAGTACTGTATTTTTACAGTTTTTACAAATTAAATAAATGTAGCCTTGGTGAGCATAAAACAGACTTCTTTAAAAAAAACATTTTTAAAAAATCTTAGGGACCCCGAACAGTGGTGTATGTATGAAAAAAAAAAGTTCAAGAATCTAATAAATTGAAAAATGCAGATCATTCCAGCCACATAACTGGTTATGTAATGTACTGAAGCCTTTACTCCACTCCCTGCTTGTGTTTCTCAATGGTATTCATCATTTCACAGAAACACACTAAAAGTGTGCCACGGCCGGTACCTCTTATGGAGGACAATCAGATCTACATGTCCAGAGAACAATGTGAGTACAAACAAAGGTCAAATGTATCATTCACGCTGTCATGTTCCTGAAAGGCCAGTCCCACCACTTCCTACAGTATGTCATTGCTGTATAAAGAGTGGGTTTTTTTAAAACAAGACAGCAGACAACTCTAAACCACCTTCATGCAGATCTGGTTTAAAACAAAAACATATGGTATAACCTTTGACCTCCGAATCACAGCTTATGTTTAATTTTGAGCTCAATGTCTCTTTCATTTTAGTGTGCGATTTTAAAGTGGTTGTACTGCAGAACGAGGCTTCAGTTCGATGTGGTCTGAAAGGACAGTACTGGCTACAAGCTGGTGAGGACATGCTAGTTCTTCAAGATCTGGAGACCAGGAGGACTGTAATGGAGTGGCCATATAAGCTGCTGCGCCGCTATGGTCGAGATAAGGTCAGCAGAAAAATACTTAATGTACACAACAGAAATAAGATTAAACAAATGTATTTAAATAAAATACAATCAGATGCGATGCTGCTTTTTTTTTAGAGGAAATTATAAGGTAACTCATATTTTTACTAGCAAAACAAAAAAACATAATTTTAAGAATAATTACCATAAAGGTACATGTATGTTCTTGTTGAATATTATTAACTAAAATAAATTATTTGTTAATTACTTTAAAGCATTATAATTATACACTACCAGGCAAAAGCTTGGGGTCAGTAAGATGTTTAAGTTGATAAGACTTTTATTCCATAAGGGCTCAACTGATCAAAAGTGCAGTGGTGGACAGTAACGGAGTAGCTTTACTTCGTTACTGTACTTAAGTAAATTTTTCAAGTGACAGTAAAGGCATTTGCAATGTTATAAAAAAAAATTATATTTCAAATTAATGCTGATCTTTTGAACTTTATATTCATCAAAGAATCGTGAAAAAAAAATCACTGTTTTTACAAAAAATATTAAGCTGCACTACTGTTTTCAACATTGATAATAAGAAGAAATGTTTCTTGAGCACCAAATCAGCATATTAGAATGATTTCTGAAGGATCATGTGACACTGAAGACAGGCGTAATGACTGCTGAAAATTCAGCTTTGCCATCACGGGAATAAATGACATTTTTAAATATATTAAAATTGAAAACAGCTGTTATAAATTGTAATAATATTTCACAAAATTACAGTTTTACTGTATTTTTGATCAAATAAATGCAGCCTTTGTGACAAGAAAATACTTTGTTCAAAATCATTAAAAACCAACCCAAACTTTTGAATGCTATGTCTCTCAAAAATAATTCCAAAAAAAAAACTATAAATTTTACAAAATTTTACAGTAAAATGACATATAATATGGTAAACTCTTTTTTTCCAATATAAGGTCACTAGTTAACATGTTAAATGAGTGCTTACAAATATTTTTGACTTTCTCTCTGTTCCTTTCTAGATGCTGTTTTCTATAGAAGCAGGCAGGCGCTGTGAATCGGGCCCTGGAACCTTTAACTTTGAGACCAGACAGAGTGACGAGATCATTCGCCTTACCGAGTCGGCTATTCGCCTACAGAAGAGCCTTGCCGTTACTGAAGACAGGCACTCGCCACATTCTCCACGTTCTCGTTCTCCTCGCTCACCCATTCCAAGACGCCCTGATAGTTTTATTTTGCTTGATACGGAGGGCAGCAACAGCCCTCAGCCTTCAGACACAAAACTGCCCTTGAACCCTAATCCAGCAGATGTCCTTGGCCCAAACATATATGCTGTACATACAAAACCTGCAAGTCCTATTGGCTTAACCGAACCGAAAGATTCCATTTGCTCCTTAAAAAGCACACACTCAGATCCTGGTGGCGGTATTAGCTTGATTGAGCCTGTGTATTCAAATCCTGCAATTTTAATAGGCAGACATGAACCTGTGTATGCAGATATAAAGACAGATCCTCTCCCATCTCATCATAAGGATGAATCAGAACCAGTGTATTCTGATCCTGCAGATGTCATCCGCCCGAAACTTAACAATTGTGTCCATGCCAACCCTACTGACACGATGGACTGCCGGCCTGTCAAGACAACGCCAAACAATGACAAGCAGCAAGAATCGGTGTACTCTGAGGTGTACGACCATGTCAAACTAAACACAAGTAAAAGACTTGACCAGACTGAAGAGCCCATTTATAGTGTACCTGAGTTTGTACAGTCAACTAAAAACGACAGCTCTCAACAAAACAAAATGCCTGATGAAAACCAATCCATCTACAACAAAGTTTACAAACCACCCAAAACCCCTCACCAAGAAAAGAAGCTAAGCCAAACACCAGAGATTGTCTCTGAGGACCTTGGAATGATTTAATTAAATCTGTAATATAAAGTCTTTACAAGTAGCTCTTAATATTTAATATTTGAAATGTTATCCCCCCAACCCACCCACCCAATAATGTCATTATTTATTAATCCATTCTACAAAATATTGTGGAATGATGACTTCATATAAATTTTCTATTGTGAAACATTGATGCACATTATGAAAGAAGTTTTTTAGTATAATGTGTTTTATTTTTATTTTGGTTTACAAGCCCAAATATGTTGCATGTATTGTTTATATATTTTCTTGTACCAAAACAGAATTAAATGCTTATTTTATGAGTTGTATGCATCTTTCAAAGAATGGCTTCAATGGCTAAAATCTCAGCAAAGGTCAGATCATTTAAAAAATAAATAATTCCGGTATCCAGTCAAAAAAAAAATTTAATCGAAATAATATGGGTTTATAAATGAGAGACAATTTTCATTTGGGGTGAACCTTTAAAAAGCCACAAACAAACGGTTTAGCCGAAATTAATCCAGCTATAGGCTAACTGACAAAGTGGCCAAGACAATAATCATAGTTTTATTCATTCAGTAAATGTATTGAACAGTGTCGACACTAGATTGGTGTGCGCAGTAAAAGAGCCTTTATGGTTTTTACGTCACTACTACTGACCGGAAGTGCTGAACGATGTCAAACCCGAGCGAATGATTGTTATTCCCACGATGTTTTGAAGACGTGTCTTTACATTTCTGAATTCTGTACCATTTTCATCCAGCTCCCAAATCATTGAACGTTTACTGAAACGTGCTGTAGGACGCTTAAACGTTAACCATGTCCAATCGCATCGCTTTCCACACGCAGCTAGCTTCCATTATGGAGGTGCTGGCAAATGCAGCGGTGGCTGAGATATGTAAACTCGTAGACGACGACTACGCGGTCATAAACTTACAGATGACTCAATGTCAGCGTGAAAACAAAGCGCTGAAGAGAAAACTTCACATACTGGAGCTTAAGATGGCACGAGGATTCGCAGAGAGGAGGATTAGTTCACTGAATCGCACTAACCGGGTTCAAGTGAGCGCCGCTTTGTCAGACAAATACAGGAACCAAGCTAACGGTGTGTGTGATCATGAACCCTTACATGAACTATTCTACCGCCAGTGTCTCTGTCACACCAAATAAATTATAAAGCCTAGTGTGGTTAAAGTACCCTGTTTTCTGTTGTTTCTCCGGTTTTCATACACCCAGACGTCCTGTATGGAGCTCAGATTAACTCGGGTCTGTGGAGAGGTGGAGGAACAGACTCGACTGCTCAGCAAGCTGTAAATGAAAGTAACAGTATGGTAAGCTGTTAACTCATAGGTAGATCTAACAATAGTTTGACTGCCATAGACAAATAAAAGATAGATATATTAACGAAATCAAATATTGAAGATATATTGACTGACATAGATAGAAACAGCTGCAATTAATTTTTTAACATAAATATCTGTTTAATATATAGAGATTTATGAAATATTTCCTTTCATGAAAGGCAGGAGATGCAGTATTATTAGAAGCAGACACCGTGCTGATAAAGGATGAGATGTTTGAGGAGGACCAAACACAGCAGAGACTGTTCATCAGAGATGGTGGTGAGTGTATAGGAGAATATAAGCCACCTGTTATAAAAGTAACAGAGGTTAGGTAGCTAACAATACCCATTTTTACCCAAAGCTTGTCTTGACACTGTTTCTCTGCTTTTAGGAGTAAAAGAGACGCCATCACAGACTGGAGAGGCGGGTTTTGGTGATGTTCAGATGGTGAGAGATGATGATCAGGTCTCTGGGATGCAGCAGCCAACTTTGGAGGTCAGTGGATCTGACACTGCGTTTACATCTGAGCCAGAGTTTGAGAGTGTTAAGGGGATATCCCAAGAGCCCATAGAATTACATGCTGCAGGAAAGTTTGATTTGAATGGAAAATCCAGTCCTTTGAGGGATTATTTAATGCAAGGGAGTGACAAAGCAGACTCACGGCTACAATCTTGCACATACGTGAACAATGCAAGATCGGCTGAGAGCCAATGCACAGGCCCTTTGCGCCGTTCAGAGGTCATAGAGGTCGACTCTGCAGAGGAGGGGGAAGAGATTTCTGTGTGGGCTAGCAAAGTAGCACGAGGGAAAAGCCAGGCTCCACGTGTTTATCCCCAATACACGAGGGAGGAACGTCAGGATAGCAGGATCCTCTTGCCTTCCTCCAATCCGCCTCTGGTAACGAATGACTTTGCAGCAGTGGCATCAACATCTTCAAATATACAGGGCACGGACAGCTACCCCAATGTCAGAGATGTCATATTTAACCAACAAAGAGTTGCTTGGACTAGAAATGACAGAGTTCCCCGCGAAAAACTCTTTGCCTGCACATATTGTGGCAAAGTTTTCAACCGCCCCAAAAAGGTGGTGATCCACCAGCGGATTCACACGGGTGAGAAGCCATTCAAGTGTAACACCTGTGGGAAGTTCTTTGCAGAGGCGGGAAATCTGAGAAAACACCAGAAAGTCCACACAGGAGAACGACCGTATAGTTGTTCTCAGTGTGGACAGACGTTTGCCTGGATACGAAACCTCAAAAACCACCAACAGAAGTACCATTCTGATATGTTAACTGCAGAAGAACTGCTTTCTCTAGGAGTCAATAAATGATCACCAGATTACTGCTCATGAGTGTGTATTATACCACCATTATATCTCTTCTGGATAAGACTTTCATTAAAATTATATACATGATTTACATAGTTTTTTTTTGAGTCGAAGTGTGTTTTTATATAATTAGCAAATTCATAGTAAAGCTCTGTCCTGTGGTGTACTGTACAAAAAGATGAAGCAACTTAGTCTGCAATAGTTTTTGGTATAATAAGTGTTCAACATGTTTAAATAAACATTTCTGCACTCATTTTGTGTTTGTCTTTTGAAGAACATTGGTCTTATAAAAATGATGACTCTGAAGGCAGGAAGTTGGAGGAAGTAAAACCTTATGGAATCATCAGGTGGTCACTGCCTTTGCAACCACAAGTATAAAATTTACTTACCAATATCAGGACAGTTCAAACTTATTTAACTAATATCCAGAATTTAGTCAGCACTGTGCAATAACATAACTTCTGATTTTCCATATGAAACAACTATGACGTGATGAATTAAATGTGATACATGATTAGATCCACATACCTGACTAAAGGAAACACAACCATTGTTAAATACTAATAAATCATGCTCTGGCTGTTCAGCAGTGGCATAAATACTTACACACTTTACTTTTTAAAGAATGAAATGTCCACAGCTGTTTGTACAGTCAGACTTCGGTTATTAGGAACCTTATGACACCCTTACAATCCACTGAACACAATTCATCATATACAAGAAATAGCTAGTTAATTTGCACACGGAAAGCTTCACACATTTCGGTAAATTACCTTGATGTTTATGTGCCAGCCAGGGCCATGTTGTAACACAAAACCTTGTTTCATGTGTTCAGCAGCAAGGACAGGTGGAAGTCGGAGAACCAGAAACAATAGTGATAAAGGAAGATCTAAACGACCAGTGGGAAAGAAGCCAGGCACAAGCTGTAATTGTGCAAGATGGTGAGTAGAGGGCCAATGAGTCCTCTATTTGATGCTTAAGTCAGTGGTAGAATATTATGATACCATCTGTGTTGAATTAAATGTCTTTGTTATAATAAGAATAGATGCATATATTTCATTAAAGGGAGAGTTCACCCAAAAATAAAAATTGTCAGCAACTATTTTGTAACACACGTATGTATGTATGTATGTAACACATGTATGTAACACATTTACATACTTCTGCTTGGAATCTAGTATCCAATAAAATGACCATTCGTTCTCTTTCCTCACCAGAGTCAAATACAGAATTTTGTAGCGGAAGACTTTCTACCTCACCAGCCAATAGCACAGATGCACCTGGTACAGAGAAGGTTTGTTGATTTACTGCTCTCTTAAGATGCAAAAAACTAGGACAGAGCTAAATAGTGCCAACAGGAAAGTGTCACGCTACAGCTGCAAAGTAAAAGTAAGCCACTTTAGGATCAAAACAAAACAAATGAATGTAGTTTTATTTTACTTCCAGCCCATAGAGATAGAATTTTCCCATTCGACTAAAAATGGACAGGATAGGAGCCAGAGAACCAACATTTCTTCATCCACCGGACTGCATATACAGGGTGAGTAAATTAAAAGAAGAAAACAGATGAAGATTTAACCTTTCAATGCGTATATACACTGAATATGTACGTATAAGCACACTATATAAAGCTTTTTAACTAAACAGATTTGAATGTCATCTTAAATTTAGAGCTAAGAGTATTTGCAGATTAGAAGTGGTCTGACAGTATCTGAACATATTTACATCCAGGTACTGTTGAGTCCAGTCCAAGTAGGCCTCAACAGCACCAGTACCACAGGTTTGCTGGTCGACCTAGCAAGGGTCTAACAACAGGAGAAACTGCAGCTCTCACAGGCTCAGGGCACGTACACAAGGGAAAGGTGAAAAGCAGAACTTCACCCACGAACCAGACTCTGCTCAGCAGAGAAAAGACAGCCACTGAAATGTCAGGAACAGACTGCTTGTTGTATGACAGACATGCAGAACCTAAAACCAGCTTTATGCACTGGCCCACACATCCATCCTGCTCATATACAAATTCGGACCAGGATCAAGACTGTATGCTGGTTCAGTCAGAGACTGTATCATCTATTAGAAGCTCCAAAGGTGGACGGGATGGAGCATCATCTACCCGAACACATGCTGTAAGCAATGCAGGAGCAGCAGAGGGGCCTATAAGAGAAGAGGAAAGGTGGAATCAAGCTGCCATTTTGAGGCAAAGCCAAACTGAAGCATCAGGGCAAATCAGTAGTCCCGAAGTGATTCAGACAGAGACTGCAAGTAGAACAAACCCTTCATATTTCACTGTGATTCCCCAAATGATGTCCAACTTACCTCAGCCTGGGGCTTTTCATGCCAGTCTGCAACTACCAAAGCACATAGAGAAAGGTAGACGGAAAAGCTACATTTGTAAGTATTGTGGAAAGGCGTTCCCTGGATTGTCCAATGTTGTGGCCCACCAGCGAGTGCATACAGGGGAGAGGCCCTTTAGGTGTGATACATGTGGGAAGCTTTTCACAGAGGCAGGCAACCTCAAGAAACACCAAAGAGTTCACACAGGAGAGAAACCCTTCATCTGTCCCCGCTGTGGGAAACGATTCGCCTGGATCTGCAACCTAAAGACCCATCAGCAGTCGGCGTCCTGTGGAGGAGTCTGATATAACATATCTGATGACAATGCAGGGCTTCCAACTCCTGCCTCTTATGAACCCAGCAGTCTTCTGAATGTCAAAGGAATCATTATAATATTCATGGAATAATTTACACAAGAAAGAAAAGGGGCATAAGAAATAAAAATAGAAACATTAATAGGAAGATTAAGGTCGGTAGATTAGCATCGGTTAAAGCAATTTGTCTTCGGTGTGTTTTAATGTTGACTGTCCGTGAATTGTAATATTAAAAGTGAGCAGCAGGTGGTGCACGAACACAAATAAATGGAGCGTCCATCGGCGTTTACTTTTAAATTACCCGCACGGTATAAACGGATTTTGCAATAGAAAAAGTCTGCTTTTCTTAAGTACTGTAAATATTATTATTAAAGGTATTTAATCATATAGAGATCTCGTGGTTTGTTTGGTGTTACAAGTCGTTGTTTGTTTCGAATATCTTGGCCAAATACTATAGCGCATCTGCCCGGCTAGCTCAGTCGGTAGAGCATGAGACTCTTAATCTCAGGGTCGTGGGTTCGAGCCCCACGTTGGGCGCAAGTGTTTTGTAGCGCCTTTCTTTGTAAATATATGTTTTTTTCCCCCAGAGAATAGTTCTGCCAACACAACCTGAACTCTAAACGTTGATCTGATATTTTCCAACATCTTGCATATCCAGATCTCCAACTGACAATTCACTGTGGAAACTGTTGAAATTAGTTTATATAGCTTGTAGATGTCTGCAAGATTAGATTTTATGTAAATTTGTTGCTTCTTTAAAGATCTTTTGAAACCTTTATGATTCATGTTAATCTAAGATTTGAAATAAAACTGTAAAAGTTGTTGAAGCTGAGAATTAAAAATTGGTTTCTTTATGAAAAAAGGAACCAAATATAATGCTTGAAATAATAATAATAATAAAAACGCAGCGAAATAAAATACTTAGCAGAGGATGGTTTCGATCTACCGACCTCTGGGTTATGGGCCCAGCACGCTTCCGCTACGCCACTCTGCTGTTAACAGCGCAGTTTTTGTTTTGTGCATATGAGTTTCTTGATTATTGCTTCCTATTCATTATGTTTATAGTCTTTTTGTTCGTTTTTGTGGCTTTTTGGAGATTTTATCGGTCCATTTATGAGACGGAATGTATTTAAAATGGTTTATTTTACATACCAGCCGAGACTTGATCATACCATTCTCCAGACGATTTTCTGTGATATTCTGATACCTGTGTATCTATGGTGTTCACAGGCGCAAATCATTTAGCACAATATACTATTTAGAACTTTTTAACTTACAATACAACTTGTGTCGAGTGACTTTGTTGGACTGTAAAAAAAAAAACATCACATTCCCTGACCGGGAATCGAACCCGGGCCGCGGCGGTGAGAGCGCCGAATCCTAACCACTAGACCACCAGGGACAGCTGCTAAAGTTGTTTCGCGTAAGCCTGAAGATTACGTTATGCAGTTATTAGGTTTGATTGCCATTGTGGTTCATTGTATTCGCAAAAACAGTTGAAACTGAATGAACTCTGCTTACCATGGTAATTGGAATGAATTACATCAATTCTATTATGGTAATAAAGTCCTAGAAATTTGATCTGTATGACGGAACACTGTCAGCTCCTTGTTTTATGTTTTATGAAAAGAACATGAACATTTGAATCTTTTTCACCTTTATTTAATATGAGTGGTGTACAAAAAAAGTCTAAAAATCCTTCAAGTATTTGTGATTTTAAGTTATCATTTCAGATCATAAAAAAGTTTGTTAGATTAATATTGTGTAGTAGTATTCATATGTTTTATCTAATGCATGATTATTCATATTACTATGCATTGTCTTTTCTTGTACTGATGAAAATAGCAGTAAACAATTACAAAAAATACATCATTTACATTAACATACTCCCACATCTCACCTAAAAACTCACATTGATGGTCAGTAGCCTAGTATAATTACATGATATATAATTATACTTTTCCAGGATATGCACAAAGTAATATGCAATGTGTGATATTCTGAAATTCAAAAAGTCATTTCCTTTCCCCTCTGTCCTATCCCGTTACCACTTCACACTGTTTTCCCTCTACCTTCTGTTCTTGCTCTTCTCCAGTTTCCTCGTCTTCCTCCACAGTGTCTTTTACATTTCCCTCTCGACTTTCTCTGTGCCTCTGTTCTCTCAGTGCACATGGCAGGCAGTTGACCAGGAAAAGGAGAGAAGAGAGACAGAGAAGAGAAAGGACAGCTCCAATGCCAATCTCTACTTGTCTATCAGCAGTTTTAACCTCTTTCCTCTCTTTTTCCACCCCAGGAGATAAATACACGGCACTCTCTTTATGGGTGGGAATCAAAACCGCCTGCTCCAAGTCATTTCTTCTGAACAAGTCATTATCAACATCATAGACACTTGTGGAATTTATCGTATTTTGCTGATCTTCTAAGTTATCATACAGATCCTTGTTGGAGTCAACAAACATATTAGCCACATCATGCATCTCAAAGTTGGTTTCCTCACTTCGCATTGGCCAAAAGTCCATGTTCAAGTTTACCCTTATCCAGCCAGAGCCTTTAGACAATCTTTTTGCTTCACTTCCTGTTTGGATTACTTCCGGTTCAACGTGGTTAAATGTTGGTTCACAAGTGGAAACCAGAAGTTCGGCATTCACAAGAGGCCCTCCGCCATCACCTTGTGCTAAAATGCGCTGGGATGGAGCAGGTGTCACAGCAACCACAGACTCAGCCAAAGAGGAGATCCGGAGAATATAGGGAATCCCACTAAAGGCATAGACAGGTATGGTGGTGTCATCATCAAACTGGATCCAAACACTGATGGATGCTTCCTAATAAAAAAGAGTGGAAATAATGAGTACTAGAACAAGGCTGGTAGATTAGTGTTAAAATGTTTGCACACAGTATACTTACTTGCCCGTGGTTGTACAGTGTGTTGTGAGCATTCACTGTTGCTGTGACAATAGATGGATGAGATGGGCTGGAATTAATGGACAGGCCAAGCCCTCCCACCAACTGAACTGAGAGGTCACCAGGAGTGACAGGTTCAGAGGTTACAATGACATTAGCACTTCCAAGCACTCCATCCCACTGACTTGATATCACCTTGAAAAACAGAAATATGTGAAGCAATGGGAGGGGGGACCAAGACAGGCCCACATTTATAGGAATAGTTCACCAACAAATGAAAATCCTGTCGTTATTTAATCACCTTCATATTGTGTCCTGTAGGACTTTATTTCTTCTGTAGACCACCAAAGAAGATATTTTGAAGGTCCAAACAATAAAAGCCATTGGGGTCCAAAACAACGTTGGACCCCTTTTACTTGAATTGTATGGCCAAAAACTGAGACATTTTTAAAAATAACTTCTTTTGAGTTTCGCAGAAGACAGGTTTGGATTGACATAAATTACATAAAATTTTCATTTTTGGGTGAACCTATATTTAATTCAGATACCAACATATAATGATGTAATTCCAGGCTTCAAGCCAATTAGATGTTTTTGTTTATCAAGAGCAGCAATATACGGGTTTTCTATCCTCAGCCAATCTCGGACAAGTTCAGTCACATCCACAAACCAATCAGGTGATCCGAGCATGTAGGTTGGTTGACCTTGAGCTGCTGATTGGGCACTGAATTGTGCCAAAATCTGTATAGTGGACCTCTGATAAACTGGTTCACACCTAAGAATTTCAATTTCCTTATGATCAAAGCCATTATCTTGCACAATCATTTGAACAGTCTGCAGAGGAATAACTAGTTAACTACATTAGTTAACATTAACTATTTACTTCAAATCTTAAAAGGTATTAAAGAGAGTATACTTTCATGACTATGAGAGTTTATTTGAAGTTAGTATATTTTAAATGTACTAAATTTCAACTTCATCATTACAAATATATTTAAATACATGACACAAGTTTTAATAGAAATGACGTTTACCATAAATGCTTGTCAGTACATTTGTCAGTATTTTAACCATATGTGAAAGGCAATAGAAGTAATTATGAAATTACATATAAATATGTACTTAAGTCCTACTTAAGCACTCTTAAGTTCAACTAATTGAATTTAATATAAACTTAAAACTATAATCCATTTTCATTTAATTGCAATTAACATGCAGTTAAGTGACCAAAAACATTATATTCAGTTCGTACTTAATTATAGTCTTTTTTAAAAGTATATTATTTCCGTAATACTCTTTTTAAAAGTATTCGCTTAGGTTTCACAAGGGAATGCATTAACTAACGTTAACTAATGGAACCTTATTGTTAAGTGTAACCAAATATTGCCTACCCGCTCTCACTGTAGTAGCTCCAGCCTTTGATGGGACTCAGGACAGAGTCAGAGAGAGACACACGCAGTGGAACTATTGGAGCCCACACAGCCAAGCACAAAGAGCCACTGTGCATTCCCAAAAAAAACTCCAGCTCCACACAGATCCTGCCCCTTCCTGATTCACTCCCATCCACAAAAAGCACAGAGCAATCATGAGACACCTGCCAGACAAGAAAAGAGCCATCAGATGAATTGATATATTTCATGCATCAGAACTGACCTCCTCCGAAATCGTTATACCTTGACAATATCTTCATTGGCTGAATGACACTTCACCGCTTTGGTAACATCTGATACTTTGCCATCAAGGCCCACTGCTAGGACAATGACAGGAAGTGACACAGGCTGGCTCGTCAAGATGGCTGTGTTGATTATTGTGTTGCTCTTGCCAATGAAAAGAATAGGATCTCAGTAAACACCATGTTTTTCCTGTTCTTTACACATATTACATCAAACATCAAATAACAGTCTCAGACAAGTTGAAGACATTGGGACTTCTCATTCTGGTAGTGATCCTTATGATCATTTATTGGATGCATATGGAAATTAACAATATCTTGCTGATATACCTCTGTGATGGGGGCAATGCCCACCACTTCTCTGTCAGTAAAGGAGAAAAAGCTTGTCGCTGGCCCATGTGGTGATACTGCAAACTTGCGAGTTGAGTACTCCACCCACCAGCTAGCAGTGACAGTCATCGCTACGCCAAAGTTTCTGTGTAAAGCCTCAAATGAGAGACAGGATACCTGGCTTAGAGCAGAAGTGCTGTAACACAAGGAAAGTGACAAAGACAAATATAAAAGTTTGGATGTCAGATTGTTGTTTGAACTAGCTTTCAGCAGGGCTGCCAACTTCAGCTTGGAGTTAGTCGCCCACATTGGGATAAGAGTCCTTTTGTCTTGTCTCAGAAAACAGTGAAAAACTGTACAATAACTGCTGCAATGCTGCAAAACAAATAACTGCTAATGCTAACTTATTGCTACACAGCATATTAGTTACTAACCTAAACACGTCGGGGAGACACAGAGTGTAACCATAACAAGATGAGAGAGAGAGGCTGACTACTCAGCATGCATGAGTATAAATTACAACAAATTACAGACCTGACTGGTCTGAATAACTTGCTGCTGTACTGTGCTGCCTGCTCTGTCTTTTGCAATGTGTGGACTTATTGTCTCCTTTGCTCCGCAATACTGTGGGAGAAAAAGGACGTGTGGTGTAGCAACCCAAACTGAGTGACTCTTACACTGAATGCGTGAGAGTTAGCAGCCCTCGGGTTTGTGATGTATATCATGTCATGCTTTAAACAAGTACACTTATTTTAATGTGTTGACAAAAAGCTAAACTACAGCACATGAAGTACAAGTATATTTAAATACATGACACAAGCTTCAATATTACAGTAATTTTAATATAAATGTTTGTCAGCAGGCCCGGTTTTTGCCAGCTATAAAAGGGTGGGCTGGCAGATATCCTAGGTGTTTATTTTATTTAGTTTATACATATATTTTATAATGTAATTTATTCATGTGATGGCAAAGCTGAATTTTCAGCATCTATTACTCTAGTCTGCAGAATCACATGATTCTTCAGAAATAATTTTAATATGCAGATTTGGTACTCAAGAAACATTTCTTCTTATTATCAATATTGAAAACATTTCTCATTGCTTACTATTTTTGTGGAAACAAATTTTGAGGGGAAAAACTGGAAAATATTTTTTAAGGATTCTTTGATGAATAGAAAGTTCATAAGAACAGCATTTATTTGAAAAATAAACCTTTTGTTAACATTATAAATGTCTTTACTGTCATTTTAATGCATCAGTTTAATGCAAATTTGCCAAATAAAAGTATTTATTTCTTTCAAACAAACTAAACTTTTGAACGGTAGTTTTTCTATACTATAATATATTGATATATAATAGATTAATAGTGATTAATTGTAGAGTCAGTAATTATTCCTCTTACCCAGTGTTGTCTGGATGGGTACCAGTGCTGTGGCTAATGATGGAAATAACGTCATGTTTTGATCCCGTTGTCTTTTCTACATTAACCATCCACAGGTCAGAGTTTGTGACTGAATGGACCTCCAGAGACAACAACCCTTTTTTCACTTTCAGTCTGGAAGAAAAAAAAAGTGAACAGTAATATTCAATACATTATAGCATAAAATGTGATGAGAAATTTTATGTAATAATATTAATGCTACCTAATGGTCAGAGACTCCACACTAAAATTTGCCCTCAGGTTTACTGACACTCTGACTGGTTGTCCAGCTCGTACAGGCCCTTTGCTGTAGACAATTAGCACATTGGAATCCAACCAAAGTTTTTCTTCCACTTGTTTGTCTAAACATTTAGAGCTCTGCTCGGTCTTGTTGATCTGTTGATCTTCGAGTCCCACAGGACCAATGTAGTGCAACTTCCTCTCAGACTGCTGCAATACTTCCTCCACACATCGAGGGGGTCCGGCTTTAGGATTGGACACAATGCCAAAGGAAGAGTAGTAGAGCTGAATTTGATCAGACTGGCCCCTGGGTCCTCGTGGCATATACGGGTGCCTTCTCTCACGGTTACGAGAACGAGAGCGGTTTCTGCTCAGGTGACGTTGCTTGAAAATCTGGTCCAGGTTTGCCTTGATGTTCTGAATAGGCTCAAACCAGTCGTTTGAAAGTGTCAGAGTGACCACACACAACCCAAAAGGTGGCTGAGAAGAAATGAAAGAATACAAAGTGGATTCCTATATGGCTAAATACTTACATAAATATAATAAATATAAACCAGTCAAAAGTTTGGAATAATTTGATGAAAAATCTTTTTTTAATACTTAAAAAAAAGTAATATTGTAAAATATTTTTGCAACTTTTCATTTCAACATATTTTGAAATGTAATTTATTCCTACGATGGCAAAGCTGAATTTTCAGCAGCCATTACTCCAGTCTTCCGTGTCACATGATCTTTCAGAAATCATGCCATTAGGCTGATTTGGTGCTCAAAAAACATATTATTACTATCAATGTTTAAAACAGTTGTGCTGAATATTTGTGTGGAAACTATGATGCTTTTTGTTGGAAATGTATTTTATTTATATTTTGGCATTTGAAGGTTTAGCGCTATATTTTCAATTTGAAAAATATATTTTATTAAGATGTACTTCATAAATCATATTTAGCATATATATATATATATATATATATATATATATTTGTCAAAAATATTTTGTTTTATAAATATAAACCAGTCAAAAGTTTGGAATAATTTGATGAAAAATCTTTTTTTAATACTTAAAAAAAAGTAATATTGTAAAATATTTTTGCAACTTTTCATTTCAACATATTTTGAAATGTAATTTATTCCTACGATGGCAAAGCTGAATTTTCAGCAGCCATTACTCCAGTCTTCCGTGTAACATGATCCTTCACAAATCTAATATGAAACTCTAATATGCAGATTTTTAAATTGAATTTCAATTACATTTTAATTTCAAATTGCAATAAATGTAACAATATTTCTGTTTTTACCGTACTTTTAATCAAAAAATGCAGACTTGGTGAGCATTAGAGATGTCTTTCAAAAACATGAAAAAATATTTGACCTGTATTATATAATAAATGTATATTTCTTATATATTTTAAATACATTTTACATATATTTTAATATACATGGCCAATAAATATATTTATAATTTATATTTTAAAATACATGTACATAAATATATTTTGTTTTATGTGTCATTTGAAGATTTTAAGTGATCACATAATACTGAGGTTTATTTGACTCTTTCCTTTATGAAATTCTTCTCTTATATTGCTGTCTTGATCCATATGTGATATGGTACCTGAGTGAAGCAGGAAGCTTTCTGTTCTTCTGTCTGTTTGAAAGCATGGAGAGTAACACAGGTTCCTCTGTTAACATCACCCCTCATATGAAACAGCACTCGCACCTTAAACTGCTCTCCTCTGTCACCCTCCATCTCTCTCACGATGGTTTTAGAAAGGAGTGATGCAGTGAGAGATGGAGTCAGGGGAGGAATGGGTTCAGACATCATCTTGAGAAGAAAAGAAGTGGTAGAACAGAATAAGTAACTTAACTTTATCTTTGAAGATGATATAAAAGTCATTAACCATAATCGAGACTGCAATACCTGTGTGATGGTATAGGAACCAAATGTAGCACGGAGAAGCGGTTTGGAGGCTGTTCCAGATGGAGGCATGAGCAACAGGGACTGGGTGGAGGTGAAGGGGCTGGAATTGGTGAAGAGAAGCCCCAGATCAGCCTGAGAGAGGGGGAGAGACTGCCATGATGATGGAACAGCGACCCGGACTGGAAGCGATGGGGATGGGGGTGTCTGACAATGGGCTTTTGATGGAGAAATAGGAGAGTCGGGATATTAGTTTGTGAGATTAGTAACAACTGCTTTATTATTCAAGCATTGATCTCTCATATTAACAGCAACATAAAACTTTGATATACAAGATGCATAAATTTAAGAAAAAAGCCCACACTCTTTCGTTTAAATTCACACTTGGTCTGAGAAACTTCATAGTGCTCTAAAGATTTCCCCCATCTAAATAACATTCAAAAAGATTTTAAAAAATCTCACTTTCAAAGGACATAAAGTGCACTCTTAAAAATAAAGGTTCCAAAAGAAGGGGTTTTGAGGTGTTGGGGAACCTTTTGTGTTCCCCAAAGCAACTTTCAGTAACCAGTACTTAAAAATACCATATATTTTTTTCAGTGAGAAGAACATTTAAAATAATATTTTTCCACTTTATAGAACCTTTTTAGAATGTAAAGATTCCATGAATGTTCTTTGTGGAACCACTGATGCCAATAAAGAACCTTCATTTTTAAGAGTGTATGTTTATGCGGTGTTTTGCGGGGAGTGTGAAAAAAAGTGCAAGTAAAACTTACAAAGTATTATGAATAAGTGAAGGGTGGCAAGTCTCATAGTAGAATACTTCCATTTGAGTCCAGAAAGACTCATTACATCCATAACACCCTGTAACAATAAATTCTGTAGTCAATAATAAATATTTGTCAAATTTTGTTGTTACATTTATCTTATAAAACAAATATATTAAAGGCATAGTTCACCAAAAATAAAATAAAAAGAAAAATTGTTGAAAATGTACTCACCCTCAGGCCATTCAAGATGAGTAGATGAGTTTCTAAATCAGAACAGATTTGGAGAAATTTTGCATCACTTGCTCACCAATGGATCCTCTGCAGTGAATGGGTGCCGTCAGAATGAGTCCAAAAAGCTGATAAAAACATCACAATAATCCACAAGTAATCACAAGTGAAAAGCCTTGTGTTTGTAATAAACAAATCCATCATCAAGGCATTTTAACTTCTGGCCAAATCCATAATAAGTCCATAATCCATAATCAAAACTCTCACATCAAAATCCAACAAGTAATTTATTTAGAATAGTTTTCACTTGTAAACACATCTTGACAGGAAAACAGGAAACTTGATCCTTTGCAGTTTACTTATAGAGTTGAGCATGGAGTTGAAGATGCCACCCTCACGCTGCTGGATAAGGTTGGAAAATATTTGGATGCGGCAGATTTCTGCATTAGGATTTTATTTCTGTATTTTTAACACTGTGAACATAAATACACTTTTAAGGTGGCTGAAGGAGTTGCAGGTGCACCAAATTTTATGGATTAATAATTGTTTAAGGGACTGTCCACAGCATGTGCTGGTAAATAGCAACAAGTCGGAGAATGTGGTTTTAAACACTAGTCTGCAGGGATGTGTTTTATCTCCAATTCTTTTTTCTATTTATACAAATGAAATTACCTGTGATAATGATAATTTGACGCTTATAATATATGCAGATGACATGGCCTTGGTGGGATGTGTAAAGGATATTCAACCATTATACTTACCTCAATTTTGTTAATTTTCTCACAATTTGGAGGGAGGAGAGTTCTTTGTAGCTTAATATTAGTCAAACTAAAGAAATGTGTTGTGGGGCTAATAATGTACGAGCACTTTGTAAGCCTTTGTTATGTAATGGAGATGAAGTTGAGCAGGTGGGATCTTTTAAATATTTAGGTACAGAGATTGACTCCCAATTTTCATTTGATAAGCATTCAGACAGTGTTTTTAAAAAAGCTTATAGGCTTATTGTGGAAACAGAGGAGTTTTAATATCGAAAAGGACATTCTGGTAGTTGTATATAAATCACTTATTGAATCTGTCCTTACTTTTAATATTGTATCCTGTTTCAACTCTTTTTCTGTTAAATGCAAAAACAGACTCTTAAGGATTAAAACGTGGCGAGTAAAATAATTGGTGAGAGACAAGTACCTCTCACTGATCTTTATACTATGGCATTAAAAAGGAAAGCCTCTGTTATTGTAGGCATCTTCCAACCCCTGCGTAGTTCATTTCAGTTACTTCCATCTGGCAGACGGTATAAAGTTCCTTTGATGAAAAAGGCCAAGTATAAGAAGACCTTTATTCCAAATGCCATTGGTATTTTAAATATGACCTTAAGATGATTTTGTATGTATTATAAGAGTTGTGGGTTTAAGTTGATGCATGTAACTGTTGTTGTGATTATTATTTGTATTGTTTGTTGAACCTTTGTCTAAAGGGGATAGACAATAAAGCTTTTTGAATTTGAATTTGATCTGTGGATATTTCTCTCCTGATTAAGATGAGAAGACTTTTTCACTGGAGAAGGCAATATAACGGATTGAGGATTAATTTAGCTGGAGGCAAAAGTTTGAAGTTAAAAATGTCTTGATGGATGTTTCTTACAAACAAATTACTGAAATAAATAAGATTACTTGTGGATTATTGTGATGTTTTTATTTGCATTTTTTAGTCTCATTCTGACGGCACCCATTCACTGCAGAGATTGGTAAGCAAGTGATGTACTGCTACATTTCTCTAAATCTGTTCCGATGGAGGAACTCATCTACATCTTGGATGACCTGAGGGAGGTAAAATTACCAGCAAATGTTCGTTTTTGGGTGAACAATTCCTTTAATATTATCCATTAGAATATGCATTTAAAAAAACACATCTCAAATACTCAAACATTTAATTCTAAGAAGTGATGTGTTAATACAATTTCAGGTAAAATAAGATAGTTTATAGTTTAAAGATAGTTAATATAGTTTAAAGAGAAAATGTAAATGAAAAAAAAAAAGTATATACATATACATATATACACTATACACTACATACACTATAAAATGTCCTAAAAGTTTGTACTTGCCTCAACGGTCCTTTCAGATTTTCAGATGTGCAAAACCGAAAGTAAGATATCACTCTTCACTCACAGACATGCTCAGTCCAATGTGTGATTTTAGTCACAGAGTTTCATCAATCCATCTGTCAGGATACTTGCTTCTATGCTTTGGAAGTTTTTCTTAGTTTTGTAAATATATAAATATTCCAAGTTAAGTTATACTTCAGAAGTATCCAAATGATTTTAAAATCCTTGTTTCCTTATTTTCATGTGTTGTTTTTCTCTCTTTTTTGCCATTTGTAGCTCTACACTGTTTCAGTCTGTCACTCTCTCTGTCCCTCTTTGGCTGGTGTTCAGGATTCACACAATACGGATTTATTCATTTAAAATGGTAAATAATCCTCTCTCTCCCTCTTTCCCTCATATCTCCCCCTCCCCCTTTTTTCTCTCTTCATTTCTTGGATATTCTGTCTGGCCAAAGATAGTTGACGTCCTTCCAAGAAACTCCTGATAAATCTGAAGATGAAACCCACTTCCTATCTCATCTTAATCTTGCTCTCTCTCCCCGGGTCCCCTATAATTCTGTTTACAATAATAAAACATGCAGAATTTATGTGGTCACAAATGGGCGAGTTTCTCAACATACATTAAAGTAATGGGATGTACTGTATATATATATATATATATATATATATATATATACTATGTGTTTATATATACAGTATATAACTTATATATATATACTGATGGGAATTATTATTATTATTATTATTATATAAGAATTGCCAGATTAACAGTCTGACATTGTTGGATAATGCAAAAAATTTATCAGAAGATGTATGTGAAAACAGACTGAATGCAGGTAACAAATAGGTTTGATGTCAGTGTCACAAGTGTTTTGTGAGAAATGACAGATAGATGCACTAGATATTTTATCCAGTGTGGTCTCTCTGTTAATCTGTGCATGTAATCTGTTGTCATCTGTCATTGTTCTCTGCTGGAACCTCATTTAAACTACAGATTTAATCCTTCACTCTGACCTGAGGATGAGGAGGAGACAACACTTATCCACCCACCACACACACAACACACATTCTCCCACGAAACCCGCTGTTGCATGTGTTCTCTCGGCTGTGTATTTGTTCTCAAACACGAAGAGAGAATAAAGCAGCTGCAAAGACAAAGCCACATAGCAATAAAAAAAAATGTACAGAACTGAAACAACCATCTTGAACTGCTGTGCATGCAAACACACACAAAGACATAGAAAGGTTTAAGCAGAAACCCACCAAGCTTTTTAACTTTCTCTCTCACTGGTGCACTTAGAAAGAGAGTTTTACTTAGCTGCCATCAGTCAGGCAAGGCATACGATTTTAAGCTGTTGTGATATTAAACCCTCTATGAGTGCAGTATTAAAAAATCAACTGGGTCAGAGGGAGAGAGAATAGATAATATTCAAAGAAAAAAAGGAAGGAAAGAAAGACAAAGAAACCCACTGAAGAGAATGAGCACATTGAGTCTACAGTATATTTAGAGCATGAGCGACAGAAATAACACAAACAGGAAGTTAATAGAATTACGACAGGAAACCACATTGCTGCAAAATTCTGCATTAACACCACATTCCCTCTCCCAACCTTAACTTGGCTTCCATGCCACCTCAGAAGACATTTCTCATCAAATTTCTCATCTAAGCTCAAACATAACCATTGTTCTACTAATTTACTCCCAATTTTATTCTGATTCTGCACCCAAGTCAAAAGTCACAAAATATCTAAATGATTGTCTTTGTAGTTTATTTAAAATTATTCATACTCCAACTAAAAAATCAATCACTTGCATAAATAATTTTAAAAAAAAGCCAACATCATTCAGGACATAAGCAAAATCCTATTTTGTTTCTGACTATTTAAAAACAATACCAAAAAACAAACAAA